TGAAAGTCGGAACACTTTTTTTCTGGAAATGCGACCTAAAGATCGTAGTTTAGTTTTAACTGCCTGAAACCGATCAACTCGGATATTTTTTAAATTTATTGCTTTGCTGTAACTTTTGGTTAGATAAATACACGAGGTTTTGGATTAATACCTCGATACCCTCGGTCATGTTTGTATTACTTCAACAGATGGCGCTGTGATCCTACAGATGAAATTGTACCTATAGGATTACGGACATTGATTGTTAAACATTCGTTCGTTAAGTTACCTTTATTCGGACAGTTTTTATTTGAACAGATTTAGAGTAGTTGATTATCAAGGAGAGCAAGAGGTTAGTAACCAATACCTCCTCCTTTTTTGTGCCAAAAAAAAAAACTATTTTAAACATTTTATTTACTATATCGTTCACTAATGATTTGAGTTCCATTCAAATAAAACCTTTTTAAAACTGAACCGCTCTGGAGCTAATTTTAAGGCCCTGACATAGGAGTCTGCCGTTGGCGGTGGGTTGCTGAAATTTTCTGGCAACGAACAAATTTTTGGGAAACAATTTTACTGAAGTCAATTTGGAAATCTCACATTTAGCGAGTCTTCCGTAATACCTGCTTTACTCAAAATATATATAAAAAATATTTATATGAATTCGATTTCGATTCTTCCAATACCGTATTGATGTTCTCGTCTTAAAGTCATCAAACAAACAAAAAATTCTCATTAAAATTTTCTTTTTTTGAGAGGAAATAATTAAAGAGACTAACCCGATGTTATTCTCGTCAATAAAGTAATTAATAGCTTCTTGATCAAGTTAAATACTTCGTTTGGTCTCCTACTTAAAACTACAAGCTCTTCCTCTTGTAGCAAAAGTATTTAGGCGAAAGAATTTTCACTGCTATAATTATTTATATGTATAAAACTAATTTAAAATGCACAACGTACCGATAAATTTGTTTGCTATTTTACAGCTAAATGGCGCTTAAAATACACTAGAGTAATATAAGACTATATACCGTGAGATAAAATGTGTCAAATGCTGAAGACAATAAAAATTTTCGGTATATACGAAAAGAGCATAGTAAATACTTGTCAAAACATCAGCTCATATATGTATATACAATATGTATATCAATACTAAATTTACGCTCGAATGTACTCCGTGCGCCAATACGACATGTTGCTCATACGCCGCGGTCGCTACGCCGGAGCAAGCAAAGAACACAAGAAGATACTAAAGGTTTGAGAGTAGAAAAAAAATGGGAAATCTCTAAGAATGCGTTTGTAAATTGCAATTTCAAGGCATAGGCTGTTTTGATAACTTCCGCACTTGGTTTGGCACCGCGAAATATTTTTTCTCCTTTTTTTTTTGGTGAACGACTTTTTTGAAGGTTCAATATTTAAATTTAGATACGCGCAACATTGAAACCACATTCCTTCTCCCTTTGCTGTGAGCGGGTGTTCTACATGCTTGCGTTTATGTTTTTTTAAATGCTTTAGGATGTGTGGAAGGAAAACGATTTTCTGCCGCTGTCATTGGCATTGAGCTTGGAAATGATTTCTCTTTGATATTGATTTCTGCTTTTTTTGTCGTTTTCTCCGTGCCTTTTTCTAAACTTCCGTCCAGGAGAATGGCTGAGCTTGAAAATGTAGTGTATAACATACACAAATATACTTATGTAATGTTGCTCATACTACGTCTGTTAGTCTCCACATATGTACTGGTATATGAGCGATGTAGTACAACTTTTTTGCTTTGATTTTTATCTCCATTGCGCTTTTTCCTGGCAGATTTTTTTCAAGCCCATAATGTGCTGACAATGTGTCGGAAGTCTTAGATGAAGCCACCGCAACTGACATCGAGGCAGTCAAATGCCTGTCTGTCCACCCACAAGCCTCCGCTAAGATACGCTTTTAGCAATTGCATTAGTAAGTATGTAGTGGAGGCCGTTCTGTAGTTTTGCTTTATTTCGCCTATTTCCGCCTTTGTTCTTTTCTTCATTTCCACACATCACAAATCCCGGCTGCAGTTAAGTGCCTGCTGTGGCGCAAGTCAAAGCGAAGAAGAGTTTCACCAGACCGGAAATAGGATTTTGATTTGCCACGTGCATGTAGGTGGGTGTGTGTGCAGCAAGGTAAAGCCCTCTTTAGAGGTGTGTGTATGTGTTTATTTTGACATTGACAGGCACGTGTTTGCCATTTGCATGATTTGAGTGCGTGTTCTTGGGTTGGGAACATGTCGCGCTTCTGCTATACAATTGTAAGCTTCCCATAAATATCCGTCATACAGCATTTCATTCCGAGGTGTGCTTCTTTGGTGCTGAAGCAGCTACAGATCACTTATGACTTGTACGAAGGATATACATTTACTGATGGATTTTTGACACATTTTCAAATTTATATACATATATAATATATCTTTAATCATTTTTATTTTGTCCCATGTTATTTGACTTGGGAGGATGGGTAGAATGTATAAGATATGATTAGAGCCTGGAAATCAATGAGAAATATAGACAGAAAATAGTAAAGGTTTCAGGTGGGCTCAACTGATTAACTCTTTCGAGGGTCACATAGAGAGAATTCCACTTCTGTGCAGATACACTCATACCACGAAAGCTACTACTACACTTTTGGTGGTATAGAGCATTAAAGTACTCACATTATACACATCGTACGTATTTCTATTTACTCACCTCTCTTTGTGTTATCTGCATTTATAATCATGAACTAGTCCCACTCTTAAGACATTACAGATGGGCAAAACTTACAATATTCAGGGAAGACTCCATTTGTAGCCCGTTCATGAGATAATCAATAGGGAGTATGGTAACAGACGCTTAGGAGCTCAAGTAGCAATTTTCATAAGAACTTTACCTTACAGAATACTAGCGCGTTCTCAAGCCATACCGAATGGGTGTACTTTTAATTGGACGCATACTAACACGTTCTATTTCGGAAAAAGTACACGAGTTTTTGAAATCAGACCTCTCTCAATCTCTGTCAACTCAAAGGTTTCTGAGACTAGAGACATTTTAAGGATGATAAAAAAAGGGAAAGTAGAGACATCATGAACTGAAACTATCTCAGCTGCATATCACTTGTCACGTACAGTGTTTTCTGTATCTTACAAAGAAGGCTGCTAATTACGTTTTGGAGGACTTCCGTATCTTTATTGTTATTTACATAATCTGGCATTCATCTATGAGTCATATCGAAGAATTACGCTTATCTATTGTAGCAGAAAGCATTGCCAACAATTATTATTATCTGTTATGAAAGCCAGTTTAGTGTAGCAGAGATGAGTTAAGGTAAAAAGTGGTCACGGACCTCTGTGAAGTTGTTAATATTTTCAAGCTACACGATTAGAGCTCTAATTGGCTTAAGTAATTAGACGTCTTCGTTTCAAAGTAGACAGCATGTGATTTTTGAATGTATGTTTCTTTGTGGATAGCTCTGTGCTCAGTCAAAAACTAGAATATTTATCGCAGTCCAAAAATGGACACAGTTCAACAGTGAGCTTAGTTTAACTTTAGGCAATGGTTAGGTTGGTTCAATTGTTGTGGGAGAACACTACAAGATGTGACTTCGAAATGATTGGGAGTTACAACCATTTGTCTGGCAGTTGCCTCTCAAGGAAAAAAGGATAACCAACCGCTGAAGACGCATCACACATTGGCTGGCACAACTGCATATTTGTGTACTCAAAACATCTATTTTTGAGCCACCTGATGACGCAGTTGATGTCTTCAGAATATACGATTTGAAGATTTGGCAATCTGAATGGTAGAAGTTCATCGCAAACTGGTTTAAACGCTTACAAGGGTGTGTAGATCTTAATGGAGAAGATTTTCGAAAACAGCAAAGGGATTGAATGAATAATCCATGCATTGGTTTCCTATCCCGAAATAAAGAACAGCAACGCTCTTAGAAAAAGTGGCCCCTCCATTGAGATTACCACTCCCCTCAGGTAATTTGCGTCAATTGTCCGAAATACTTATCTTCCATACGTGATCGTCAATGATTATAAATTCAGCAAAAAGTTTATATCTAATAGCAACCAAGTTGCAAAAGTTAATTTGATTATTATTTCATAGACTGCAAATGCGCAAAATTATTAACCAAATAAAATATTTATAATAGATTCATTATGCGTTAATGAATTAAGCATTAAAATGCGTCTGCTTCAGAAAGTGGTAAAAAGTCATAAAAAACAAAATGGAAAAATGAAAAAAGTCATAAAAAGCAAAAGGAAAGAAATGAAAAACTTTGTTGGAAAGCAGAAGACAGAAAAACAAATACGCTAGCTTCATAAAAACTCACGCGTTTAAGCAAACACAAACAAACATATTATTGCCAGAATAAAGCGCAGACAAGATGAAAGAAAAACCGCGCGTGCGCAGCCAACTAATTTTTAATCATTAATTATTTACAGAAACAAATTATGAGCAATAATAAAACAATCATGATGAAACAGTTTGAAAACTTTTGTGAAAGAAATGCACACACACACACACACGCCCACACGCCCACACGTAAACATTTTCATCCAGTTGCTGACTGCTGCCTTAAATGCATGCATTGGTGCGTTTGTTTGTATATATATATATATATATATATATATATATGTATATATGTATGTATTTATGAGTTTTAATGTGAGTTAGCGGTTAGTCTTCATTATGTTTTGAGAATTCCTTTCAATAAGATGTACTTTTCCTGTACTAGTCAAATGCCAATATTTCATTTGCTTGTTGAACACTTTTCATTCAACTTATGATGGAACAAAAGAAAAAAATATAGACTATTTATGAGCAAATTACACACAAAATGTAAACATTTTCAAGTTATACAGAGCGTGTCGAACTTTCGGGGGCTCTAAGGCAATTATTTTTAATTCGCGCTTATAAGTATGCAATGAAAATTGTGAAGTTTACTTTTGGCAGGAGTTTGACAATATTCAAGTGGTGTATGGCATTTCAATGCTTCGTGTGGAAAGTTTCTTGAAGAAAGTGATATAAAATTTCTGATTTCAAACTACTAGAATATTTTTTCTTAATTTTCATTATATTTTTCACACCTTTTCGCGGAGTTTCTTTCGGGCGAGCGTGGAAATTTATTTGCTATAAAATTAAATATAAAATCTTTACAGAATGCATTCAATTTTAATTTTCCACTGACAAAGGCATTAATTCTTCATAACAGGTCCATCAAAGCCGATGGTAGACGTACACGAAGCTCGTTTAAGCGGACAAGATTAAAAAAGTTGATGAAATATTCGTTAAATAAAGATCTTTGTGGTAGTGTATATACATATTTACACAATTATAAACGGTACTCCCCGAATAAACCAAATTGCATGCAAGAAAGAACGCAAGTGCGGGAAAAATTTGGCTGGCTCAGTGAATTGTGTTCAGCCATTGCGTTAACACTAACAAAAAGGTAAGACGATACGAAACTCTCGCTAATTGCAGATATGAAATTGCGTTCCTCGATTAATTTTTCGAGGCTGGTAACAAAGCCAAATGACAGAACTTCGAACAGCCTATCATTTCGAAGCCTTAGGACCTCTCAGTGAATAATGATTCAAAGCGCTCTCACGAATTAAAGAGGTTCGTACAACGTTTTCTCAAATATAAAGTTAGCTAAAATTTAGTCAAAACTAAAAATTTTTAATTAAAGACTTAAATAATTGTTTCCCCAACTAAAAAAATATTTTTTGAACGAATTCTATGTAATCAACTTAAGCTTTCGGCGCGAATTCTCTCATTGTCTACTATTTCCTGTCGACTAAAAATAATTGCCTTTGACGAGATGTTTTGATTTCGACTCTGTCAGAGGTTGCCTGTTGGGAATTGACTCGTTTAAGTATATCTTCAGCACCCTCTAGACCAGAACAAGTGATATCTTCCAATACATCTCGGCCGCTTTTGAATGCCCTGTGTCTTTCACATGCTCAAACTTTCGACAAACTCGAAAAAACACGGTAAAATCTTTAACCTTTAAAAATCAAGATTATAATAAAACAATGCATATCTGGTAGTCCACTGTAGAACAAAATAAAAAGCCAAAGTATTGGGCGTGTCTATGACGAGTTGTAATAATCTCGCCAACACATTAAATAGCAAATTATCCTTAATTAAACTAAAATTAAAACACCTCGACCTTTTGTACCAAGCCAGAATAATGCCCACTTAAGCCGATAAAAAGTTTTTTTTACGGCAAATGACCAACTTCTTTCAAAGATAGGAAGCAGAAAGCAATGTTTACAAGCGCCAACTATGAGCCTTCGCCACCGTCACCGTCACCGCCACACAAGTAACGATTCACAAAGAAGAAAGTAACTCAATTGAAACAGGTGGCATTACCACAGCAAACAGCAGTAGTTGCCATGGCAACAATCCGCCTGTACAATCGCTGAAAAGTAAATAAAATATTTGTGAACGCAGCAACACACAAACAGATATACAAACACAGAAGAAGCAGCATAAAGTGTAGTCACAGTACAAAAGTTACGCTTCCCGGAGTGTGAGTAGTCCAACGCCAACGCTGCTGCTTCGCTTTGCTGGTCACTCGGGCGTGTATGTAATGTGCATGTTGCACTTTGGTTGTTGTACTCACACAAACGTACACGGTTGTTGTGTTGAATATAGAAATAAAATTGGCATACAAATAAATGTTTTTAAACAAATATGCGTACACATTAGGGTGTACCAATTTTTTTTTTTTTATTTTTTATTAATTTTTATATCTTTTGATTTTGTGCTCGGGAAGCGCTGACAATTTTATGAAACTTTTCTTAGTTTTTTTAAATTTCTAAATGGCCATTCATAGCTCATCAAATATTTTTAAATTACTATAAAATATTTATATCGCAAATATTATTATAAACAATTAAAGAAAATTTAAAAAAAAATGTGTTGTTGCAAACAAATTTCTAAAAAAGAAATAATTTGTAAAATATTTGTAAAAAAATTTTAAAAAATATAATCTGTTTTCAAGTTTCTTTTCTACAATATTACTTATAATCTAAATAAGCAATTAAACGAAATTTAAATTTAAAATTTTTATATGGTTGGCAAAAAAAAACATCTCTTAAACCACCCTGATGCACCTATATTAGCTGCACTATAGAGCAAGCACCGTTTGCTTCAGTTGAGGAGGTCATGGTTTTGGTCTTCTGCCCATTTTGCTTCCCACTGTTGCTATTACTGATGACTTGCTGTTGTTGTTGTTTTTCGCGAAAGTTTTTTTAAATCCATTTTTTACTGTTGCCACTGGAACCGAGAAGCGCGCCATGCGGAAACTCAAATGAAATGTGCGGTTAGTGAACTGAACGTAAAGGCTGCAAGGGCCGCAGAGGCGACTAAAGGCGGAAGGTAATGGGAAAAAACAACAACAACAACACGCGAACTTTAAATATAGTAATGGAAAACTTCAGCAGTGTGGCAGGGTGTGAAAAGCTTTTTGAGCGAAGCCCAAGCAACAAACGAAAGGAGTGCGACAGTGAGGAGCGTAGGAGAGTGGTAAGATGTAAGTAGAGAGGACGGCAGAGCTATAGAAGTAGTTCACACCCTTACCCATCTCACCCTCTCCCCGACAGCTACGATGTCGTAATTTTCCAATTTGTACACTTAAATTCCTGTTCTTATTCTTCTATATGTAAGTACACATGCTTACATATATGTATGTGTGTATGAGTGTATGTCTTACATTAATATGCGCTTTTTTCCCTCTTCACTTCACTTCTTATTTCTTATTATTTTTCCATGCTCTTTTTATAGTCTTTTCATTTTACACTTTGTGCACATTTTTTTGCGGTCTGATTTTGCTTTTTAGCCGAAAGCGAAGAAAAATTACTTAAATGGCTGCGTACACAAATAACACTTTATGCACACATATGTATATACGAGTATGTATGTATTTCTGGGAGCTGCGCTTCCTTCACTAAGCCGTTGGTAAATGTGACGGGACGCCATTTTTACACTTCGCCAGCGATCGGGCTGTGGGTAAAGCGGGTTAAGCGGGCAACGCAAAAACATACTCGAGTGCATGCCAGCGAAAGGGTAATGGACATACGGTTGTAGTAACAATATGAATAATAATGCCAACAAGAAGTGGTAAAGTTTTGAAAAGGATTTATAATCCTTCTTTAAGGTTTATGTCACAATGAGGAAATACAATATTTTTCGGTTGCTCGTATGATTCACAAAAAAACTTTCGAATTTACGAAGGTGAAAATTTCTCGCTTGACAAGGTAAAGGGTTAAGTGTTGGGCGAAAGCGTCTTGAAGTTCAAAGCATATGCGGTGTGGTAATAGTTAGGACATTAGAAATATGTATGTTTGCTGAAAAATTTAAAGACCTGACAACTTAAAACTTTACACAACAATGCGCTGGAGTTTGAGCTATATAAAGGCCTGAAAATTAGGAAAAATCGTTTTTAGTTTTATATTGAAAAATAGAACAACCAAAATGAGCCAAACTATTTTCCGTTTACTGTCTCTAATTTTGAGTGTTGAGCTTTAATATTTGAGTTGAGTTAAGTTGAGTCGAGTTGAGTGGAATTCATTACAGTCCAGTTCAGTTGCGTTGAGTCCAATTGAAATTGAGTTGAGTGGAGTTGAGTTGAGTTGAGTTGAGTTGAGTTGGGTTGAGCTGAGTTGAGTTGGGCTGAATTGAGTTGGAGTTAAATTAGAGTTGAGTTGGAGTTGAGTTGAGTTGAGTTGGAGTTGAGTTGGAGTTAAATTAGAGTTGAGTTGGAGTTGAGTTGAGTTGAGTTGGAGTTAAATTGGAGTTGAGTTGAGTTGAGCTAAATTGAGATTAGAGTTGAGTTGGAGTTGAGTTGAGTTGAGTTGGAGTTGAGTTGGAGTTAAATTAGAGTTGAGTTGGAGTTGAGTTGAGTTGAGTTGGAGTTAAATTGGAGTTGAGTTGAGTTGAGCTAAATTGAGTTAGAGTTGAGTTGAGCTGAATTGAGTTGGAGTTGAGTTGATATAATTTCAAGGTATGAAAACCTTCTCTTTGGATACAAATCAACATAAAAACAAGTACAACAAAGAATCTATAAATGTCTGAGTGCTATCGAATACCAAATATAACCAATGTGTTGACCTAATTTGCGTTAACTTGGCTGCTGATCGTAGCAATCAGCGCTCTCAGGCCTGAAGGTCCATTGTAAACTGCGATGCTGCTGCGAAACCTTCACTTTCTCAGATACACAAAGCAGCCGTTGCTATGCCAGACAGACAATCAAAGTGTCACTGTTTATGTCGTTTAGTGCTTAAGGGTGGGCAGAGATGGTAGAGATCTTATCCTCGTCTTCGTGACATCACTCCCGTTTTTCAACCATGAAGACACTTTGTTGTATTTATGGATGGTGTACGAATACTGTGCAGCAATTCTTACTTCAAATACTCAGATGCTGAAAATCGATCCATCAATTTAATTCCACAAACAATTTTATTTGGGTTGTCTGTGAGTGTGTGACCTTAATAGACACAAACGATTGTGAGTGACTCTGGTAATTGCCTCCATCAACCGAATAGCACTGCAGATATCTTTTAAAATGATTATTACTAACCAATGACTTTACGCATTTTCCAGGACTAAGGATATTCACTTTCAGCATACACAATGCAGACGATTGTGCGAAACCACTTAAACGCAAGAGCAATGCAGGCAAACAATGGTGAATGCAATTTACAAAACTTACAAGCACATACTTGCACATTCATACATGCTTATACATATATATATATATATTTCTGGATGCACCTAAGTGTATGCAACACTGAGTTGAGTTTTGTTGAGTGGCTTATGGGAAAAGTAATGGAAGAGCGATGAAAACATAAAGCAAAAGCTTATTGTTTTTTTGATCTGTTATTGAAATTGCCAAATGTTCACACATACATGCAAACAGATTTTTGTTTGTGTGTAGGTTTGGCATAAATAAGTATTAGCAACCCATTAGTTATTAGCAGCAGCAGCAACAACAGATTTCTGGCAAAATTCAGACAATGCCTGCCTTGTGATGGACTTTCTGCTGATCATCATAATTGTTTTACTGGGAAAACAATAAGCAGTTGTTGTTATAGTTTTAGTTGTAGTTGTTGGCAATTGTTTTCCATTTCTGGCTTAAAATAGCATTCTATGAAAAATTCGATTATTCTTGGCACTTCTAAGCAAACCGAGTCAGGCTCTTGTGTGTTTGTACACTTCTAAGCTTGCAAATTAAGCATTTACATATACTGGTATAAACCAATGTAAATAAATCTTAGTTTACTGAAATTTTTCTTAAAAATGTATCTTACTTGTCAAGTTGAGCAGCAGGCCCCGATTGTTTTTATCTCCCAGCTGAAATTTATTGCGTTTGCTTAGAAAAATTTCAAAGAGAGTCCGATATGAAGTTCGTTTTGTATTTCCCTATTTATTAACATGACACATTTCTTAGTAAATTAATAAGCAAAATTTTGTTTTAGTTGGATATTTGAATTGGCAGCAGTGCGTAAACTTAATACTTTATTATATATATATACATACAATATAATATATATAATATATATAATATATATAATAATAATATAATATATTGATGAGTGCATAAGTTCGTGCCCGATTTCAAGTGCAAACTAAAACTGAAATTTTTTGAAGAAAGCGTTTTTATTAATCAATTATGTATTCGCCATCATATTCGGCAATCCACTCTCAACGTTCAACCGATTTACAAATGCCTGATTCATAGAAATCGCGCGGTTTCTCGTTGAAAAAGTGTCAAGGTGGTTTTTGACGTTTTCCACATTTTTAAATTTTTTTCCATCCAAATTGTTCTACAGCGATCGAGACAAATGATAATCAGAAGGTGCAATATCAGGTGGATATGGGGGATGCGGCATGATTTCCCAATTCATCTCCTTCAGTTTGGCCAGGGTCGGTTTTGCAACATGTGGCCTGGCGTTGTCATGATGGAAAAGAACTCCTTTGCGATTGGCCAAAATCGAACGTTTTTCATCAATTGCTTTCTTCAATTCGACCAATTGCTGACAATACTTGTTGGCAGTGATCGTTTCTCCAGTTGGGAAGAGCTCAAAATAGATCACGCCTCGGATATTCCACCAAATGCACAGCAGTACCTTCATCGGATGCAATCCACCTTTCGACATCGGTTCCGCCCCTTCGTGTGCCTGTTTCCATGTTCTTTTGCGTTGAACATTGTTGTACAGGATCCATTTTTCATCACCAGTCACGAGCCGATCCAAAAAAGGTTCGTTTTTGATCCGTCGAAGCAAAGAAATTGCTGTTGACATACGGTCCACTTTGTTTTTTTCACTCAACTGATGTGGCACCGATGTATCGAGCTTCAAAGTGTACCCAACCTTTTTTAAACGACAAAACGCAGTTGTTTCTTTGACGTTCAATTCACTGGCAACCCCTTCCGCCGAAATACGTGAGTTATTCGCAACTAAAGGCCGTCCACTGCGAGGTTGATCTTCGACGTTAAAATCTCCAGAACGAAATTTCGCGAATCATTACTTTACTATGCGGAGTGTTGAAGCACGGTTCGAATAAACTTTGCGAATATCTTTAGTTGCAGCGCCTACTGTTTTTCCTTTGCGGAATTCGTATAACAGAATATGACGCATATGATCTTTTTCGTTGTCCATCTTCCATGCGTCTTTTCACTAAGCAACTCAAATCAAAATGAAATTATTTTATGCTTGATTTACAGTTCGGACTGTCACCTTTCCAATGATATATAATATGTACATATTTCCTTCACAAGCGCCACTCTC